GGGAGGGGTACAGTAGCAAAAGCCTTATTTTTTTATATGTTGGGAAAATTTCCGGAGTTCAGTGATTTCACTGTTAACCAACTGTCCCAGATTTTCAGACAAATGAGAACTGTCTGGGGTGGTTGGGAAAATCTGGAATATTTCTGTTTTCCCAACATTTTTTAGATTTCTGTGATGATTGCTGACCATTCAGAATTAATGAAAACTTCAGTTTTCACTGTCAGGAGATGTCAGTGATAATTTTAGCTTGCCGCATCACAATACCTGCTCCTGTGGCTTAGATTAAGTACCCCTGAGTAACAGATAAAAGGTGTAAGGAAAAACTTGGAGTTTGGTCTATTCCCAATATATTACCAAAATCTGGAACAGTTGGAGAACAGTGAAATTGTAAATCCTTATACCAACATATTAAAACCAGGCTTAAAAATAATATAGAAAATCAAAGCACCCTACGATTTCAAACTTAAAAGTTACTGCTTTCACTTTCATTCACCTTCCTTAGATGGTACAAAACCTTTCAGTTAAATTTCCCATCCCTAAAAAAAATGTGTATTTTGTATAAGGAAGGTAAATAGACAGTTGGCTTAACTCACATGTTACATGTTTTACTATAAATTTCTTAATAAGTTAACTATAGATATGAAACCCTGCAAATCAACTGTCAGACCCTTTTCTAATATCCTTGTATTTATGACATTTTTCCCCTCCCTTTCTCATTTAATTTACCTCTAGCCTGAAAGGATTTCCACTTTTGGGTGGGACATTGCAGAATTTTCCATAATTGGTATGACCGCACACCCAAAGTATTCAACTACCGAGACACCAAAAAGCGTACCAAACTACAGTGGCCCTTAGTACTGAGCATGGGCCATGTGTGGCAACATTAGTGATGTGCACAAGCTAATCTGAAAACCATCAGACAATAGTCTTAATAAGATACCAGACTGAAGTATTTGTTCAATATTTTTAGTGTTGAATTGAGGGAACTTGAAGCCAAATTAAAAGCAGGATTTATGAATCGTGAAAGAGCAGCTCAACTGGCTGAGAAGATGGCCATGAAGCTCGATTGTCAGGTGAGATGTGCTGATGACGTCATTGTGTCAAATTGAATGTTCTCTTAGTGTCAATACATCTATAATCCCTGGTATCTCTCATGCTTGCATGCTCAAATCTCACTCTTATTTCACTCTTGTGGGAAAATAATTTCCCCCTTGTGACAAAACGTTCGTTTTTGTTCTTTTCTACCCCAAGTTAATTTGAAGTGTTTGTATTCACGTTGATGGAAAAGTATTTTGAGTGTTTGAAAATTTTCCCAGAGTCCTCTGCCAAGTGATGTCCACCAAGTTTTTGAATTGTTGAAAGATTTCAGCAGTGTTTGAAAGTTGGTAGAAAATCTTGCTAGATTTCAGTAAGTTCCAGATCATTTTGAAAGCCAGGCACTTACGTGTGGAATGAAGAGGTTGGTTATAGCATATCATCGACCATCTTTTTAAGAAGAGATCTACTTTTAGTGAAAATATCTCTATCTTAATTTTTTTTCTTTCTCTTCCTTTTCTGCACTTTTTCTGCAAACCCAGAAACGGGACGACGAGATACACGAAAAGATGAAAGAAGAATACAAGCGAGCACTAGAAGTGGAGCGAGTCAAAGAAAATCAACGCTGGGAAGAAAGTGTCCGCTATCAGGAGCAACTCGAGAAACAACTGGCTGAAAAGGAGCGCCGCAAACAGGAGGCTTATGAGGAATTCCTGAAAGAAAAACTCATGATTGATGAGATTGTGAGGAAGATCTATGAAGAAGATCAAAGGTGTGTAGCAAGATGTTCTCTCCAATATATAAAGTTTGCTCTAAGTTATTTGGCACAGTCTATTACAGCGCTTTTCGACTGAAAATCACGACTGGCAATCAGAAGAAAGGAAAATACTATACCTTTAAGAGCTAATAAGAATTTAATGTCAAAACAACCGAACTGCTTCAAGCGCGGGAAAACGCAAACGGCCAATTCGTGATTGGTTGTAGTTTTGCATCTGATTGGTTGAGAAAGTGGCGCGGATTTTCTGGACCAATCACAGAGCGAAGTAATGCTAAACCAATGCAATCACAGATTTTTTGTGGCATCATTTCAGTTAAGTAACTAAATCAAATATTCGTTTAGTGTGCACCATTTTTTCCATGTAAATCTACAAGTGTCACACACTGAACTCAGAGGGAAGGGGAAGGGATACATGCTATTTCATGTATCTTTGATATTAACGCATAACGTTGTTTCAACTTAACACTGGGTTTGCATATAAACAACAAATGATTTGAACTCAGTAACTCTATGTAGGCTCTTCAAGAGAAGAGGAAGACGCACTGTACCCACACATAGCTCAATGATCGTGCATCATACGTATCTATAACCGCAGTTCAAAATATGTGAACTTCATATATTCATCGTATCTGATTTATCATCACGGGTTTATTACGAATCAACTTAACGGCCTGCACCCAGTGGGCTTGTTAGCTCT